ACAAAACGCTAAGAGATAACGGTGCAGATTTATTCCTTGGGGATCGCATCGGTGAACCCCAGATTGCGTGGGACTGGATCGAGCAGACTGCCCGAGTGTTGGAAGATCTCAATGTACCCATGGACAATTATCCCAGACTGGCTTCTCAATTGCTTCGAAAGGAAGCCTACGAGTGGTGGAAGAGGACGGATGAGAGTGCAGGAACCCCTAAGCCGTGGACATGGGCACATTTCGAATGGGCATTCAAGCAAGAATATATTCCGAAATGATTTAGCAAGGAAAGACGTAAGGAATTTGTTGAACTGGAACATGGAGACATGACACTCCCTGAATATCGTCAGAAGTTTACCAAACTCGCAAAGTTTGCACCAACCTTAGTAAATACCCCAACCGATCGCATTGAGGAGTTCAGGAAGAAACTTCGACCTGACCTCAGGTCACGTGTATCCGTTCTAACCACTGTGGATTTCGCGGAGGCCTACGATCTCATTTCCAGGGCAGACAGCGACTTGAGTGCTTGCATTGAGTATCTGAAGACAAATAATGTCAGCTCAAGCACTCACCGTTCCACCGGCTCTACCTCAAAAGGGAAAAGGCCCTTTCAAAAACCTAGCAATTCACATTTCTCTAAAAAGGGAAAATCTGTACAAACTCAGTCGATGGCATCCGTTGATAAGTCCAAAAAGCGGAGGTATCCAGCTTGCGAGCACTGTGGAAGGAATCACCCTGGAGAATGCTGGCTTAAGCAAGGGTTGTGTCTCGGCTGTGGAAAACCAGGACACTTTCGAAAAGAGTGCCCTACAAACCCCGGTGAACCGTATCCACCTGCCCCTGTTGTTAGTCAAGCAGCATCGGCACGACCCGCACGAAGTCAACGCTCAACAGCGGGGTCTAATCCAGCCAAGAATCAGAACCAACAACAAGGACGAGCTCCTGCTCGTACATATGCAATGAAAGCACGAATTGAGGAGAACCCTGACGTCATCCAGGGTATGTTCTCCTTATTTGATACTGTCATGCATGTGTTGATAGACCCTGGATCAACTTTGTCTTATATCTGTGTACAA